AGTTCGATCCCCAGTACCAAAAAAAATAAAATAAAATAAAATAAAAATAAATAAATACAGTGTGGAAGAACATGGCAGTGTGAGAATATGAATGAGAGGCAGTGCCACTTAAAATAAATGGTCGGGGATCTGTACTGATGAGTTGGGATTCAAATGGAGGCCTGAGTGAACCAAGGGGATGACTTGTGTGCAGATTAGAGGAAGTATTTTCCCAGCAGAGGGAACTACAAAGGCAAATGCCCTGTGGTAGGAACCTCCCTGGCTTAATATGAGACCAGCAAACTAAGCAGAGAAGGGTGTAGGGGGTCCAGGTCACGCAGGTATTGTAAAGGCTTCAGAAGTTACTGTGAACAAAATAAGGCATACTAGAAGGGTTTGAGCAGAGAGACACAGTTTAAGTTGTATGTGTGTGCACATGTGTGTGTGTGATAGTGATACTGGAATTTGAACTATATCCCCAACCCTTTTTATATTTTATTTTGAGACAAGATACTGCTAAATTTCCCAGGCCGCCCTCAAATTTCTGCCTCAGCCTCTTAGTAACATATTACAAGCTGTACCACTACACCTAGCCATTTTTTTCCTTCAGTACTTAAGTGTTGGAATGGAACCTAGGGCATTGCATATGTTAGGGAAGCGCTCCACCCCTGAGCCATATGCCTAGTGCTGACTTAACTTTTAAAATCACATTGGCTGCCTGTCGTGATGGCACATGTCTAAGGCAGGGGGATCATTGGGAGTTCGAGGCCATTTGGGCTACAGAGTGAATTCAGAGCCAGCCTGAACTACACAGTGAGACCCTGTCTCAAAAAACTAAAAAAATAGGGCCGGGAATTTAGCTCAGTGGTTCCGGCGCCTGCCTTGCAAGCGCAAGAACCCGAGTTCGATCTCCGGTACAAAAAACCAAAAAAACTAAACTAAACTAAAAACTAAAAAATAATAATAACCAAAATAAAGTCATGTTGGTCAATTTGGTATTATGGCACATGCCTATAATCCCACCCCAGGCAATTTAGTGAGAACCTTCTCAAAATAAAAAATGGAAAGGTCCCAAATTCAATCCCTGGTACCAAAAAAATAAAATAAAATAAAATTTAAAAATGTAAAGGGCTGGGCATGTGTAGCTCAGTGGTAGACCACCTACCTGCCTAGCACATGGAAGGCCCTGGGCTCAATCCCCAGAATCATGAAAATTAAAAAAAAAAAAAATCTCATTAATACACAGGGCTACTGTGAATGCACCCAAACCAACACCCGCGTTGCTCCCTACATTGCTGAAGAGTTTCCCACACCACATACATCTCAGCACACTAATGCTTTAGAAGTCATATCTGTTGTATGATTTCTTGACATTGCAATATATGCATTTACCAGATTTTCTCCTAGAAAACTTTAATCTTTTTGATCTTCATGTCCTGGTAAATTAAAGAGTACAATAATAATCCTCACTTCACAATATTTTGGGATCTTCTAGCAAAATCTTGGAACTGGAGTTGGAGGAGAGCACTTAGTTTAGAACGTGTGAGGCCTTGGGTTAGATATCCAACATCACAAAAAATTAAATAAATTTAAAAATTGGATCTGAACTGGATATGTACATGAAATTATGAGTTGATTGGGTTGGCTAGCTCCCATCTCAAGAGCCTTTGTGTCTGAGGCTTCCTAAAGTCTTGCCTTTTTAATTTCCCTTTCTTTCCTCGCCCAGTCCAATTTTGGAGATCTCTTTGCTGGGGCCGGGGATTTAGCTCAGTGGTTCCGTTGCTTGCCTTGCAAGCACAAGGACCCGAGTTCGATCCCCAGTACCTAAAAAATAAAATAAAAGATCTCTTTGTTTATGGGGTTGAGTTTACAGGGCACAACAGCCTTTAGTTTTCTTCTCTGGAGAGAGGTGGGGGTGGGGACTTGGACATAGGTTCACTTAAGAGCTCTCCCCCTTTTTTTGGCGGTACCAGGGATCAAACTCAGGACCTTGCACTTGCAAAGCAGGCAACAGCACCACTGAGCTAAATCCCCAGCCCCCCAGAGCTCTCCCTTTATAGTGGTGGACGTCTTCTTATTCCTTAATTAATCGTCTTCTGGTAATTGGGAAGCAGAAAAGGTTAAAATGGATGTCAAATTTTTACTCTAGGCCCCAAGTTTAAATGTTGAGGAGCTCAGATTGCTGGCAAAACTTTGTTTTCAGGGCCGGGGATTTAGCTCAGTGCTTTCAGCACCTGCCTCTCAAGCGCAAGGTCCCAAGTTCAATCCCCGGTACCAAAACCAAAACAAAACAAAACAAAAAACTTTGTTTTCAGGAATTGGAGCCTAGAGACAGAACAAAGCTGTCCCCATGGGGAGTGTTCCCAGGACTTGGAGGGGAAGGCATGACAGCACCTCTGGATGTGGCCTGTGGATTGTACAGGCCAGACTGTTCGGCTCAACTTGTTATTCTACATAAAAGTTGATTTCCCGGGCCAGCACTGCACAGGAGACTTCAGTGTAGATGGAAATGGCCTATAATCTGCACCATCTGGTATAGCGGTTACTGGCCCTATGTGGCTATCGGATCACTTGAAACAGCTAGTGCAGCTGAAGGTTGGACTTTTAAATTTTAATTAAAATGTAAGTGACCATATTCAGCAAGTAGCCACACCCTGAATCTGCTGTCTCCTGTGCATGTTAGGAGATAGATAAAACTGTGTTGCAGAGGAACAAACATAGTTTCGGAGGCGGATCTTCTCCCCAGCTTGAGATCTTCATGGAGCTAATTCCTTCTGTCCTCTGTGTCACATAGGTTGTGCCTGTCAAGTCCTTATTGGCAAATGATTCACTGATTTGCCCTTTTTCGTAATTTCTGTCCCTCCTCCCAGGTGCCTTGAAGAAGAGTCTCACGGCCGAGCAGGTCCAGGCGGATTTCATAACTCTGGGTAGGGCATGGTCCAGGACTGCTGTGGAGAGGGCCTCTGTGGCTTTTCATTATGTTAATGATCCTACTGTTCCCTTACAGGTCTTAGTGAGGAGAAAGCCACTTACTTTTCTGAAAAGGTATAATTCCTCTTAATCAAGGTTAAGATCCTTGTCTTTTATTTCACAAAAAGAAAAAAATGGAAAATGCCAACCAAGGCAAAGCCATCAATGCATCGTTTTATTTGGTTTCATAAGAATGATACATATATAGCTTTTAACCAGCACTATATATCGCATCTCTAATTTTTTTCCCTCTGATTTGACTTAGTATAAATGTCATGCAGTTTTTGTTCCAACATGAGCAAAATCTTGGAATGAAAGACAACATTTGTGTGTTTTGCACTGCTCTGTCCCCCACCCACGCCCCAGGTGTGTGCGTACAGGCTGAGCCTTCTGTGCTGCGCTCTTCCCACTGTCTGTATAAATACCAAATACGGCTGGGCAGTTGGACTTTCCAACATGGTTATGACTTTGGCTCTTTACTCTTGCTCCAGTGGAAGCAGAACGCCCCTGCCCTTGCTCAGTGGGTGGTAAGTCAGACCCTGATGATTAATCAGCTTGTCAATATGGAATGGAGGTTTGGAGGTAATAGTCCTGGGTCACTTGGCTTATGTGGGTTGGATCGCAGAGTCTTACGGGGATCCTCAGTGGGGAACCCTCAGTGGGGGACGGGTCCTTAGTCTCACACAGGAGTGGGACATGCAGCTGCCTAGTGTATCAAGGTCCCTCCCAGGGTTGACTTGCCCAAGAGCACATCTTGCCATCCTCATACATGACCCTTTGTCGGCTGGACAGCCTGCAAAATTGGTGTCCTCAGGGAAGTCCCCAGTCAATCACTTATTATTTTTCTCTTTTGTGTCACAGTAACATCTGGGAGCAGTGAATTGGAGAAAGTGGGAAGTATTTTTTTACAAGTAAGTCTTTTCTTAATCTTTGAAAATGGGGAGATTTGTGACTTGGTAAAAACATATTAAATCTGAGCTGGGTGTGGAGGTGCACACACCTGTGATCTTAGTACTCAAATTCGAGGTTACCCTGGGCAATTTACCAAAACTCTGTCTCAAAAAAGAAAACAATAACAATAACAAAAAAAGGCTGTGGATATTGCTCACTGCAAAGGCCCTAGATTCAATTCCTAGCAGCAAAACAAAATAGAATTTAAATCTAGCCAGGCATGGTGGTGTACATCTGTAATCCTAGCTACTTGGGAGGCTGAGGCAAGAGGATAGCAAGTTTGAGGCCATCGTGGGCAAATTAGCAAGACACTGTCTCCAAATACAAAATGCTTCAGTGGGCTGGGGATTTAGCTCAGTGGTTCCGCTGCCTGCCTCGCAAGC